AATTAAAATGAGATAAATTATATATTTTAGAGACTACAAATACAATTAACCCAAAACAAAATTATAATTATTTGAGATTATTTTATCAATTATAAAATATTATAATAGATCATAAATTCTCATAATCCTGAGCGAGACATTGTATATTTTGGTATCGATATTACCGAAACCGAAATCGGTACTGTAGTCTTCCTTAAAAAGTTGGGCCGTAGTAAATAAGGAGTTGCAAGGCACGTCGTCGTCACGTTGAAGAAGCCGCCTAGATGGTGGTTTGTCCACAAAGTCTCACAAATATCAACATGAGATTAAAGAGTATGACTAACCTGTGCTACCGTCATTTTCGAACTCGGTGTACCCCACAAGACCCACTATGGGTCGGCCCGTCGGCAATAACGACCATTGACTATTGACTCATACAAATCCAATTATTTTTGTTAATATCTCCAACATGCTCTCATCCATGATGTTAGCTTCTAGTCGTGTATGCAGTGAGGTTCACGGCAAAGTATACAATACTTCTTTGTGTATTTGTAGTAGTATGGAAGCAAATTCATTAGGAGTTGTCAACAGTAACTAATTTTATTTATTATATTTATAAATATTTTATCGTTATTATGGAAATTTTATTATTATTATGGTACCGAAAAAAATAATAAAAATAATTATCACATGTGTTAAATTACTAATAATAGTGATTATTTTTTTTTGTACTAAAAAAAGTGATAAAATCAGTTACCACAATAATGATAAAAACATTCACAACAGTGATACAAATATTTACAAAAGTGTTAAATTACCCATAAATGTGACAATTTTTTTGGTTAAAAAATGATCTACAAAAAATTACAAAATATAGCCATTGAAATAGTAAATTTTTAAGGTATGATACCAAATTTTTTTTGTTGGTGCCGTAATCAAGCCCAAGTGAAGTTTTAAAACATTTTGAATATGTTAAAAGATTTTTTTATTTAATAATGATTTGATGTCTATGTTAGACAAAATATGGTTTTTGTTAGAAGAATAATGTTTTGGAAAAATTCACTTCAATACTGAACTGGGGTACGTTACTAAAGTTTACAAGTGCTGAGAATGTAAATTGATTCTTAAAAATTTCCAACGTTAGAATAATGTTTTAATTTTGTTAGGGGTGCAGTTACAATTTTTTGAAATACTTGAGATTGATCTATTGCAAAAACCCGAAAAAGATGTAAATGAGCCTAAAAATCTTAAAAATTTGTAAATAGTGATATAATTTCGATTTTTTTTTTTTCTGTAACGTAGGCTTCTCTAAATCTATACTTCAACTTAGTTTAATCAAACAATCAATCAAATTCATTATTCACTAATTTGTAAGTTTATATAATTTGAATAGGGTCTACCATAGCAATTCCCATGCTAGTATATAGATATTCCAATTCGTGAATTTCACACACCGATTTTTAGTTTACACTTTTAAAAATTTAAAATATTAATTTATACTCTCAATAGTATGAATAGATAGTAATGTAAAACTGACTTAGATTGTCGTTCAGTTTTTCATCATAAATTAAAGAATGTGAGGTGCAAGAGTTTTAGACATGTGGATGATATATGTCCATCATTGCAGATCTTCGTTTGCAATCAGTTTGACATTGTTTTGTGTATTAAAAATAAAATTCTATTAATCAGATAAAAGCTAACTTTATCATGTGCAACTCAAATAAGATTTCAACAGTGCCTGAATTTATACATAAGTAAATGTTTGAAACATTTACAACTCACGTGCTTTAATTTATGACAATAAATTAAACGACAATCTGAGTTAGGTTCATATTGCTATTAATTCATAACATTAAGAGTGCAAATTAATTTTTTTTAATGTTTAAAAGTATAAATTAAAAATTAAAATATCTTTTGAGATACAAAATAAATTAATCCTAAATTCAAATTCAAGAGCCAATCTCGTACCAGCGGAACGGATTCAATCATTCAAAGCATTCTTTAGGCTCCCTTACCAAAAACCATAAAAAAAAAAATAAAAGGAAAAATTTCAGTTACACTCTTTCTAATTTATTATATCTTTAAAAATACTCCCTCAATTATCCAAAACATCAATGACACCTATTATAGTTTATATTTAAACATCATTGACACCTTTGCTGTTAACCCACAAAAAAAATTCATCAAAAATACCGAAATTGCTCTTACGTAAACCCTAAATAATTTTTCTACATAAAATTTGAGTTGATTAAAATATATTATTTTTCAATATTAAAATTCAAGCTGATTAAAATTTATTTTTCTACATATTAAAATTTGTGCCTATTAAATTTTTTTGTTTTACGTATTAAAATTCTAGTCAATTTGAACTCAACTAGAGCATTTAGCACAAATTAAAATTTGATTCGAATTGATTAAATTTATATTTTTTTACTTATTAAAATTCGATTAACATTTATTTTTTACGTATTAAAATTTGAATCAATTAAAATTTATAATTTTTTATGTATATTCTCGCTGATTAAAATTCAATGCGAGTTAATTAAAATTTGATTCAAGCTGATTAAAAATGAATTTCAATTGGTTCAAATAGAATTTTAATCTATCCGAATTTTAATACGTAAAAAAATTCATAAAATAGAGGAGGTCTCGTTGAACATATGTCTATCCAGATGGGGTGTAAATGAAAATTTTCCTATACTCAATTTAGTAAAATTGTATTTTAGTTAGACTTTTAATCACAGAACGTGTTAGTAAAGATCGAGTGTCCTTACAAATATGATAAATCACAAAGGGTGTAACTGAAATTTGTCCAAAAAAAACAAAAAAAATTGACACAAGCTGGGGGTTTTAAATAGGAAAAGAGTCCTCGGTTAAACCTCGAACAGTTGAAAAGGCTTTTGAGCTTGACGATGCTATCCATGCGGATCCATTTTAGCTGATAGTTGTTGTCTGGTGCTTGGTTTGTGGCTATGGATAGATTCGAAGTTCCCCACTTTTTAAACTTTGAAATTTGGAAGACGACAATAAGATAAGAGTTGATGAAATGGAGATCTGAGTGATGTGAGCTTCCTCACCTCGGATTCCCCAAAGAGAGAGAGTAATTTCTCGACAACATATATAATAGTGTAGGAATGTCCCAGTAACTCAACAACCACTTTAACCTTTTCCAAGAACCTCATCCCCATGGCTCTAAGTGGGGTTTCAATTTTATAAATTAATACGAATTTGATACAAATTTGATCTAATATAAAATTGTAAAATAATACGATTAATTGACATAAATAATAAATTGGTTAAATTAAGGTTTGATATAAATAACAAGATTAACGGATACTGTAGATAAAAGATAATTATTTAACGAGTATTATAGACAAAAAAAATAAGAATTTTATAATTTTTTAAATAGTATTATATGAGTTGTTGTGGAATTAAATAATTTTTATTGACGCGATTCCGATACATACAGAAAGTGACCTGACACAAAAATAACACGATTGAAAGTGATACGATACGAAAATGACACAATACAACACGATTGACCCCCTACCTCTAACATTGTAGATAATGTGTTAATCGAGACGAGTTATTTGAGTTCGATTTGAATAAGACTTGACTCGAGTTCGACTTGCATTTTAAACAAGTTGAGTTTGAACAATTTTTTAATACTCGTTTAAATTTGAGCTTTAAAAGTTCAACTTAAGTTTGCAAAACTCGACTCATTTATATATAAAATAGTAGAGTTACTCGGGCTTTGCTTGGGTTCGGGCTTGATTTCAGTTCTAAACAAACCGAGGTTAAACAATTTTTTAAACTCATTTAAAAAAACGAGTACAATAAGCTCGGGTTCAAGCTCACAAAACTCCCATCGATTAACACTTGTAATTGTAGATAGTATTATAGTATTCAAAACAAAATTGATAGTAGGTGTTCAAAATTTATAACTTATATGATCGATCATAACATTTTGAAATTGGTTATGCTCGTTATAGTTGAAACTTACATCCAAAAAAAATTTAAACTTACAGCTTACAAACCTTTAATTTTTTCAAACGACATCATGAAATGAAACGAGATTACTCAAGTTTAGCCTTCGTTAAATTTGATTGTAGGTGGGATTACAATTAACCTATTAAAAAAACAAGATTAGAAAGATGCAAAAGCTTTGTAATTTATTATGTTTATTTAATTTTAATTAATTTCATATCCTGTTATTATATGAAAAATCAAGTGATAGGAAAAAGCTAATTGAAAGTAGTCAATTTAAAAGGCTTGCTATCTTCGAAGGAAAAAAAATAATAGTTGGAAACAAGGTGCAAGCAGAGAACATATATTTTTGGGTAAATATTACAATTAGATCCCAAATTTTATCTGTTGTTTTAAAATGATCCCCTGAACTTTGATTTATCACAATTTAATCATGGATTATCAATTTCATGTCAACTAAGTCATTTTATCAATTTCAATCGTTACAACAAACAGAGACAAGCATTGTCTTTGTCACATGACAATCCACGTTATGTACTGACGTTTATTTTAATAGGCTGAAATTGACGAAAGGATTTAATAGACATGAAATTGGTAATTGAGTGATTAAATTAAAATAATTAAAAATTTAGGAACTATTTTAAAATAGGGGTTTAGTTTTAGAACTAATTATGATACTTATTGTATTTTTTTTTTGGGTCAAAGTTAGAATATAAACAATTTTTTTACTATATAGTGTTTAAATTTACACTAATTATCTCTTGAACTCAATAATTGACTACCGTAACTTGAACGGGGAGAAACGGATTTTGTTGTTTTATAACTAATTTATAAAAAAACTTACCTAATTTTTTTTGAATAAATCCACATTAAGGAATGTCCAAATTTAATGAAGCTTAGATAGGAGGAGACAAGCAATTGGTCCACCACTTCGGGTTCTCTCTCTCATATCCCTATCACATGACACACAATTTTTTACCCATTTTCACAGGCAGTCACGTAGCGCTGATCTTTCTTTTCTCTTTTTAAAAGCCCTCTCTCTCTCTTCTCTCTCGCAACTGTCCTTCCGTGTTCAACTCGCGTTTTAGCAGACATAGGAAACAAATCAAACCACGGAGAGAGAGGGAACGACTTTTATAGAGAGAGAGAATCAAAGATTCCTATTCTTTGGTGGAGCAAAAGTTTTCTCGATACAGAGAATAGATTGATAGACAGTCATAAACCATTGTGGCTGTCAATTCCTGAGCAATTTATCCGAATTTGATAGTGAATTTCTCGACCTCGATTATTAGGCTTTCATTGAGATCTTACTTCGATCTTGCTTTGAATCGGTGAGAGAAAACGGTCAGAGCTTTGGTTTCTGCGTCGATTCTGCGATTAAAGAGGGTTTTTGTCGGTTGTTGATTTAAATAATCGCTGAATTAATTTGATTTTCAACGTTTAAGTTGGGATTAGTGTGTGGATTCTGAAGGGAGTTAGGAATTGTGAGGGAGTTTGAGATGAATGATGTTGACCTTAACACCAGTTGGTTTGTGATGTAATATGGCCCTGGTCGTTACACGCAAAGAAGATGTCGCTTTACATTGGTCGCGAGGCTTCAAAGGTTCGCCTTCTCTACTCTCTCTCTTTCTCTCTCTCTCTCTCGCTCTCGCTCTCTGTATTGTGTGAAGCAAGTGCTTAATTGTGTTTTAATTAATTTTTTGGCCCTTGATTGATCTGTTTTTCTTTTTTTGGTGATAAGCTATGGAAAACAGTTTGTGGGGAGATTATTACAGAAATCAACCTTCTTGCCGAGAATTGGAAGTATATGTTTGCCGGTCTCATCTTCCAGGTCTTAATCTGTCCATTATCCCGTAACTTATGATCAGTTTATGAAGTTCTATATATCATCTATGAAGAGAACTCATTGTGTATACATGATTATGCTTTAGCTTTTACTTCGGTTAGACACTATCTACTGAGTTGGTGGTTGTGGTTTGATTAAGGAAACAACGGGTCTTCTAAATTCATGATGTGAGACATATTGTAACCTCGACAAGGCTTTCAGGTCTAATGCCTGGTCTTCACTAGATTAAAGTTGCAATTGAACCTTGTTGTTAATCCTTGACTACCAATTTTTGAAACAATTTTCTCTCTGGCAAAAATCATGCAGAAAGTGGGGTGGTTGAACGGAGCATTAGACTTCAAAATGTCTTGGTGTGATTTTAAGTTGTTGTGAATTGAAATCCAAATGGTGCTCTGTTGATCTCCAGCTATTTTTGGAGAAATTTGGAAGGCAAGCTAACAGCTCAATTTCAGTTACCAAAAACCTGATTTTTGATGATAACATTCTGCCCTTACGTTTAATAGAGTCCGAACATAACAGCTCGAAATGCATTTTCAATGACATATTTCGTCTGAAAGCACATTATGTGTCTTTCTGTTCACTTTTTATCTATCATGTTCCATGATTCTTGTTGCTAGTGACTTTTTTTCTGAAATGTATTGTTATAAATTTTTAACTAATTGTCTGATAACATATTTTTTTGGTGCTTTCTTTTTTTGCTTTCCCCTCTGACGTTTGTTTTGGATGCCTAAAAAGTGACATCTATTCCTATCCTTTCTTCAGTATATTCATGGGTTGGCAGCTCGAGGAGTTCATTATTTTCATCGGCCAGGACCAATTCTTCAGGATCTTGGGTTCTTTCTTCTTCCGGTTTGTATCATTTATGTTTGTTTGTCTTTCCTATTTTATAAAGTACACTACTTATCGTTGGCCATCTCTGATATATTTAATCACATGGTTGGTTATAGGAGCTTGGGCAAGACAGAGCTTACATTAGTGAGACTGTGTTCACCTTCATCTTTCTATCCTTTGTCTTGGTGAGGTTTTCGCTATTTATTAGCCTCCATTATTTTTTATCCAATTTGCCATTGTTCTTGCGGTTATACAAATTTTCTTTGGCTTTCACCTACCAATAAAGTCAGTTTTTTGTTTTTGTGTTTGTTTTCTCTCTCTCTCCCTGTCAATTTTTGAATATACACTTATTGATTTGAAGAACTATGTTGTTCTGGGTTTATGTCTGGTTCAAAATTGTTGAAAACTGATTGCTAGATACCATCTACCGTGGGTGGATGATGGAACATTTGAAAAATCATATTCCGTGGTTCTATTTATTTTTTGTTTCACTGCCTGATGTTTACAATTCTCATTTTCTCAATATGGGTGTTTATGGTGCAGTGGACCTTCCATCCTTTCATTTTCAAGAGCAAAAAAATCTACACTGTTCTATTGTGGTGCAGGGTTCTAGCCTTTTTATGTGTAAGTGTTGTTTGGTTATTTACTTTTAACTTTCTTTCCTTTTGTATGTTCAAATATTCTGTTCTAGAATTATATGGGGCTGAAATGATTTGGGGACAACTCCTTAAGAATATGAAACGTAGCAATGACAATTAAAATTTGGGGATACATTTTGCATTTCATTTGTTGTATATATGTTGGTAACCTCTGAGTCGGGAATTGTGGCTTGATGAGTTTGTGGAGAAACTGTGGGGTTCTGCAACACCCCACTTCCAGTAGTAAGTGGGGGCTTTGTGATTTTAAAAAATCTCAAGTCACTGAACATACACTTATATGCATAGTTGTTAAAATCGTACGATTCGCGAGTTGAATCGTACGATTCGGTTCGATTCACGGGATAGGCGATTCGAATCTTATGGCTGAATCGAATTTGGTCTGGAATCGTATGCGAATCGCAAGAATCGGACGAACCGAACCGAATCGTATGTATCGTACGATTCGGTCTATTTTTTTTTAAAACCAAAGAAAACGTCAAAACGACGTTGTTTTTGCCAAGCTCCCAGATCCTAATAAATAATACAAAGGACTTTGTCTCTTTCTCACTTTGCCAAAATCGTTTTCTGTTGGAGGGAGACCCACCACACGACGTCGAAGCTCCATCGGCTCCGAGGTAAGTCGCTGCCTTTTCTTCTTCTTCTTCTTCTTCTTACCCGCAACAAACAGCGAGATAGCCTTATAGCAGGCCTTCCGTCTTCCTTGCTCTGTTTTTATAAACTCTATGCTCTGTTTTTTATTATTGTAGTTTCTTAATTTCTGATTTTTTTTTCATTGTTGTGGCCTGTGGGTGGATGATTTTGGCGTTATGAATGAGGGTTTTTGTATATAAACAATATGAATGTGGGTTTTCATTATATAAATGATGCTCTGGTTTTCACTTTATCAATACTCTGTTTTTATATAAATGATACTCTAGTTGTGGCCTATGGGTTTTCATTTTGGGTGTTTGTGGCTGTCCATGGAGTATTGAAACATGGAGTATTGAGTTGTTTTGAGTTACATATTGTCGTTGCTGTCCATGGAGTATTGAGTTGTTGGTTTGATGTTCTGTAATGTTGCTTTTTTAACTATATGGATGTTATTTTTTATCTTTGTTTAAATTTTGTATCGAATCTTACGATTTACGATTCAATACGATTCACGATTCACAAATTTAAGATTCCGATTCATGATACAAATCTCGATTTAACAACTATGCTTATATGTATTTGTATGGTTCGGTGCACAAATGCTCGAACACCAGCCAGTTCACTATTGCATATTGAATCACATTTTTCAAAAAGTGCCTGGTCAGGACGTCTTTCCCGAAGTTTAACAATTTAAATCAAACATTTTTGTTTGGTGCAGGTTTGTCAAATTCTTCGGATAATAACATTCTATTCTACTCAACTTCCTGGTCCAAACTATCATTGCCGTGAGGTAAATCACAAACAAAATATATGTTATGCCACTTTGTTTTGTAGCCCATGATTTGGTACATTCTCTGTTTTGTGATTGAAAATTTTAGTGTATACTAACATTTATCAATTTTAGGTGATTAGCGGAATTCAGTTTTCTAATCTTATTAAAATAAGCAAACTGTTGTATCTAACAGGGTTCAAAGATTGCCACATTGCCGCCTCCGGAGAGTATACTAGAAGTCTTATTAATAGGTATTTTTACTATTGATCATTGGAGTAGATGGATGTTTAACATGATATCAGATCAAGATGTCCCGTGTTCGAATCTTGTTACTACCCTAATTATTAAAAGAGTTTCCATGTGCCAGACTCAAAATTTAGCATGAGAGGGTGTTGAAATATAAATACTTAAGTTACATTTTCTTCAACAATTTTAGTTTAAGCTTTTGGTGTCGATGGTTGTTTAACAATTTTATTCTGGATTGGGTTCATCCCTCTGGATGAATTAAGTTGTAGACGAAAGCATAAGAACTCAATGGGATCTCTTTCTTTCTTGTCTGATTCAGCGGGAATTAATTGTTAGTTTAAACGGCCTTCACTTTCCTTTCTTCTTTGGGTTACTGGTTGCGAGAGTTCCAGCTCTATGTGTTCATACGATGTTTATGAATTTGCAGTTCCTCGAGGAGTGCTGTTTGGTTGTGGTGATTTGATATTTTCATCTCATATGATCTTCTCTCTAGTTTTTGTGCGAACTTACCAAAAATATGGCACACGAAGGTAATGTTAGCTGTACTTATGTTAGATGGAAGAAGTGAATGGACAGAAAAATTGACTATGCTGTCAAAAATGAGAAATTATGATTTGTGTAATTTCTACCTACCCACACATACACACACACACAAAAAAAAAAAAACCAATTGTCACTTTCTGAGTTGTATGGCATACTCTGATTTGTGGACTTTTGTCATTGCAGGTTCATAAAGCAATGTGCTTGGTTAATTGTCGTAATTCAGAGCTTGTTGATTATCTCATCCCGTAAACATTACACAGTTGACATCATTGTGGCCTGGTACAGGCTGCCATTTTAGTTTCTGCTTTCATGTTTGGATTTAGGCGTTTTGGCAATTTTCTGATGGAATGCAACAATTTGACTCTGTTGCAGGTATACCGTCAATTTGGTGGTGTTCTTTATTGACCATAAATTGCCAGGTTTATTTTTATTTGACTTTGTTTTTATCTTCAATTTCTGTGACCCCCCTTCTTGTTCAGCCGTACATTTTAGTCTCTAATATTGACTTTGAGATGTCGTTACACAGAACTGCCTGACCGTAGTGGGGCTGGGGCATTTTTGCTACCATTGAGCAAGACTAAAGAAGAGAATCACAAGCTCTTGAATGGGAATGCTGGAGATCATGTGGATTGGGTATCAACATCTTTGCTTATGTGATGTTCAATAAACACAACTGCACTCACAAGAAATAATTTACATTGTTCTAATATTAAGCATGGCTTGGACTATTTACTGTTCAGAGGCTGAGAAGTCAAGTTAATGGCAAGATTCTAGAAAATGGCAATGCTGTACATGTCGAAGCAGTGATGATGAATGGTGTATAGATGATAAGAGTTGCAGCCGCTGCGACCTAATTAAGCTGCTGCGAGGACTGCTATATCTATTTCCCAACTTGGTTCTAAGGAGTCATTCGCTGCTGTGTCAGAAGAAGACCGGTAAACCTGACTTGTATTCTAGAAGAAAAAAATTGTTTCATGCTTTGCAACGTTTAAGATATCTCTCCTATGGTTAATGTCATTCATCTCATAAGCACCAGCATGTATCATGGAATTTCTGTGTTTCTATTTCTTTAATAATTTTGTGTCCCTGGTCGTTTTTGAAAAAAAACAGAGAGAGAGAGAGAGAGGGAGATTGGCTATATGGTTCATCCGGGGGAGAGGTCGAGCTTCAAGAAATGGTGAATGGTGTTATCAATACACAAATTTATAACTCCCCAGGAATTTCAATTGCGCTTATATTGTAAAAATTGGGTTCAATCTTTCTCTAGTCCCTTCTTATCAATGGACTCCTAATGTATAAGAAGGAGTGCGGTTCGTTCGATAAATTCATGCCTCCCTATATATCTCTGAGATGTTTAGAGAGAGAGAGAGAGAGGCCATTTTAAACTTGCAGAAAGAGAACCAATGTGCAGTGAGAGGAGGGGAGTGAGCATTGTACATGGCCCCCACTTTCCGCTTGTGTATAGTTGCCTATTAAATGTGGAACGGTACTTTAAAGATGGAAATGTTTCCTTTAATATGTAGACAACACCGAACATCACATGCCTTCTCTTTCCCATGGACAGGGAGACCACTACGTTTATACTTAGTCAGTTAGTCCTACATGATAAACTCACCACTCTGCCCACTCCATTCATTTAGTCTATTGAAGATCAAGGCTCTTACAAGTGAGCAAGCCTTTTTTTTTTTAAAATGGAGATCACATGGTTTCAATTCTTTCGTGTCTTCATGTTTTGTCATTTCATGTTGTCATATTAGGATTATATTATTTCGTATCGTGTCGTGTCGTGTTTTGTCCTATCCCGTATTAAAATTTGTGTAAATAGAAAATTGTTTTAGAAAATAAATTGGTTAATAGTTTCTCAGATTTGACACCCCCTTGTTACTTCACATGCCTTCTCTTTCTGCGACAAAGACTACCCATAATCTGTACACGCTGCATGAAAAAAAAAAATTCCTGACACAGTACCTTCCATTGTCAAAGAGGAGTGGGTCATAGGCAACATGGTCGTATTTTTCAAAGGATGAGGCTGTCCCTTTGCCAATGCTTTGATAATGCTGCCGTGTGGCAAGTAAGGGTAAACCCCATGTGGTGCAATGTAAGCATGATGTGCATTGTTAGCAGTCTATTAAACGAAAGGGAAGGGATGGGGTTTTTTACCATTTGGAATGCAGAAGCAAAATGTTTTGGATTGATACGAGAGGGTGGAAGATAGTTTGGGCATCAACGAGTTTCAGCAAAAGAGCATGATAAACCCAAAAAAAAGGAGTAAATAGCGGGGGTAACGGTTATATTATGTTAACAATGTTGATGTGGTGTAAAATGAGACCTATTTTTTTTTTTTTATCATGAATGCGGTTATGCATTACATAGTTAGGCGATTATGATTTTTTATGGAGCTCACTTATAACTTGTTTACTTATTAGTGGATGGTTAAACCACATTATACTGCTAAAGTGGTGTAACGGTTACGTCTAATATTTTTTCCATAAGTGGGTGGGTTTTTTTGGCACAATTGTAATATTGTATGGTGTCACGGATTTGACAGTCCCTCTACACACGAGGGTAAATTTGCATAAGCAAAGGATAAATTTTCTTGGCAATTCTATCAGGAGAGAAAATGAGAACAATTTTATTCCACCATAAACTAGTAATTCTGTGGAATTGGATCGTGAAAAAAAGAGTTCCAAATACACACATTTTTGGGCACCGTAGTTTGAGGAGAATTAAATGTACGTAATTTTATTATGTTCTCGCATTTAGAGAAATTAATTTTATGTTTTGAACGTCTAATGCTCAGATTACAATAAAATAACCCTACCATAAAGTCAAGATCCATCTAACGTGGTTCAGTAGTTGAACCTAACATTTAGTAATCTAGATATCTTAGGTTCAATTCATTTTTATATCTCTTAAGAGTTAATCACTTTTGTCCATTAGGGACATGTTCTAATCCAACTTAAATTACGGTAGTCAGTCATTGAACTCGAAAAAATAATTGACACAAATCTAGATACTCTGTAACCAAAAAAATAAAAAGCCAAGATCCATCCTCTCCAGAACTAGATCTCATCTATCCAAATTAGAGGAATATGGGATATGTAAGCAATATTTATTGTTTATGCTCTTTGTTCTATATGAAGTCTAAAAGTTTTTGGGCATGGGTTGTGTTACAGCTATTTTTGCTCACCCATGTGGCCTTTCTTTCAAGTGTATATTTGTTGACACCCATGGCAGCAAAATGGCCCCATGCATGATCATCTCAATTGGTTGTGTTTACACTCAAACCTGAGTGACTTAAGACCATAAAAGCTGATGCTGGTAAGCTGTAAAAAGTCAGTCAATAAAGGGGGGGAGAGAGAGAGAGAGAGAACCATGTGTTATTGTCATTGTCATGTCTGATATCATATGTATCCAATATCATTATTAAGGTATGTCTGCATAACGGCCACTTTTCCCATTTGCTTGTTCATCTCTCTCTCTCTCTCTCTCTCTCTCTCTCTCTCTCTCTCTCTCTCCTCTGTCTAGGGGTCTTCTTGACCCCTGTGTGGGTGGTACTAATAATTGCCAATATCTTTTTGTGATTCAAAGACTTCCTTTTATTGTTAACCTTGGTGGAGTGATGATCATCACTATGTGATCAGCCAGATGGTCCCTAAGTTTCTGGGTTATTATCCTCTTGTTGGAGAAGTCCATTTGGATTTAGGAAATTCATTCTCAAAAGGTTACAAGAACTCCCAAAGGGAATGGGGATAGAGACATTGCTATGCAGTTTGTGCAAATCAAATCCAGGTTTAAGTTCAATAAAAAAGAGTTTTCTTTTTTTTCCGTCCCACACATATTTCACCTCGGATGAGCTAAAACGTCTTTACTGAAAAGTATGATTCTGATTGTTCATACCAACTCGTAATGGTTAAACAATATATCATTAGGAGATTTATCCATACTATTAATAAAGGGAGATGGTGAAATTTGGTATTCTTTCACTTTATTGGTGGTTATTAATAGATAATTACAAGTCTATTACTACTACCTCAGCTTCACAAGTCTATAGTTTTTTGTGTGCTAGTGTGGACTCAGCCACCACCCCAAATAGTCAACTTCCTATTAATCAGTTGGTATCCATCCATCTTTGTTTATTCTATTACCCAATGTTATATGAGTTTTTTTTAAGCCTTAAAAAGCAAAAATATCCTTACTTTTTGATAAATACAAAAAATTCTCTTTCTCACTAAGAAATTAAAGTAAAGGGTTATATTTGCTTTTGAGTTAACTACCTATTTAGCTCTCAAACTGTACCATCTGTGTCAATTACGTCATTAAACTATATTTTGTGTTAATTTAATCCCTGAACTATACAGTCTGATTCAATGTTACCCTTTTGTCCAAATCGACAGTTAATTTTAACAGAAACGCACATGAACACATCACGTGGCCCGTAAACTATAACCTAATCTCAGATTCACGTGACATTGAATCAGATTGCATAGTTCAGGGGTTAGAGACTTAATTGATACAAACAATACAAATAGATATTTAATTCTTTAGTTTTTAAAGCTTAAAAAAAACTTATATGACACTTGGTAATATAATAAAGGATTTGTTAGTTATTTGATGGGTCTCTATTCAAGTAATCCACCAATAGTTATTAAATAAGTTGATGAGGACTGGAGAATTATTAAATTTATTTAAACAAATATTAACGAAACTTTACCTAAAAAAACAGATTAGGACTAAGTCATCAGATTTTTTTTTTTTTTTGACTTTGACAGATTCAAAAGGACCGTTGTTTGTTTTAAATTTAATGACTCTATCTATCCAAATTTTGCCGCCTATCCACTCCTAATACTTTTGTCATTCAAACGTTACTTCCCAAACAAGTATAATGCTTTGCCCCTAAACTTATTCATGCCATAAATAAACGGAGAGAAAAGGACTTGGTTTGGTTTGATTTGTTATCATTAAAATGTTCATAATTTATTTTTATTACTAAGGGTGTCTTGTGTTTCAAGACACGATACAACGTAAGAGAGAAATGATGAATTTGAGTGTGATGAGACAGGGTGGGGGTGGAGGGAGAAGAAATTTAATGTGAATAATTTTGAGAGAGATATTGATTTGTGCTTTGTTCTTCAAATCATTAAGTCAACCTATTTACCTCTAAAATTGGGCAAATACTATGGAAAAAAAAGATGATATCCAAACTTAATCAATTTAGGATTAATTATAAATTACACCCAAAAGATCGTTTGAAACTCAATTTTTACTCCAAAAGACTAAAAATCTCAATTTACACCCTCAAAAATATAAATTTGTATCAATGTGTACCCCCGAAGATCAAAAATCTTAATTTGCACCATCAAAGATATAAATTTTTATCAATGTGCACAAAAAACTAACTGCCATCAATTTGTTGCCCGCAACTAAATTGATAAATTATACCTAAATGTCTTTATGCCTATCACTTAATCATTTGGACCATTTCACAAAATAAAGGGTAATATAAAATTATAATTTTTTATTAGGATACAATTATATTTTTTAACGGTTACAAAATCTTAATAAAAATACTCTCAATCTAAAATGTTCTACCAATTGGGCATTCAAATAATTATATTTAAGTGATATATTGCATTGAATATAAAAATATTATATAAATACATATATTTTATTAGATATTCAAATGGTAAACTTGATTTTGAACTATAGAGTATATCGGATCCACAAAATAAAGGGTAATATAAAATTATAATTTTTTATTAGGATAAAATCATATTTTTTAACGGTTATATTAACATATATCAACTAAAAAGGATTACATGAGATGTAAGAGTAATATTCTAAATGTAAAGAGGTCCAAATGATCAAGTGATAAGCATGAGGAGATCTAGGTATAATTTATCAATTTAATTTTAGGCAACAAACTGATGACGATTAGTTTTAGGTGTACATTGATACAAATTTCTATTTTTGAGGGTGCAAATTGAGATTTTTGATCTTTGGGGATGCACATTGATACAAATTTCTATCTTTGGGTATAAATTAAGATTTTTGATCTTTGGGGGTGCACATTGATATAAATTTTTATCTTTAATGGTACAAATTAAAATTTTTTATTTTTGAAGGTATAAATTGAGATTCGAACAATTTTTAGGGGTGCAATTTACAATTAACCCATCAATTTAACTCATTTAATGTCTTGCCTAATGTAATTAGTCAATAATTAATATAAACAAAAAATAATATCTAAGACTAATCTCCTATTTAATTATCTACTCGCACGAGAAAATGTGTGCAGGATGCCTAATTAATTATTATAAAATTTAAAATGTCTTCATTTTATTAATTATGTCCAAAAATTTTCACTTTTCTTTAAAATTATGTTTATATTTCTTCATAGAGAAATTTTATACTGATCAAATTTTTTTATAATGACATGTAAATGTTCTCCCAATGTTTTTGAAGAAAGCCATTAACTAAGTAAGTTGATTTGAAATTATGAAAAAATTGACAAAAAATAAATTAAAAGCATTAAAATGAAAATCCATATGAATTTCTAGTAAAAAATACAATTAACCCAAAAGGAGGGGCCCGAGAGGTGTGTTGTCTGGGGAGCAGGAAAGAGGAATGATGAGGACGTTGAATTACAGAAAAGGCAGAAAAGCTGAAACCAGAAAGGGGAGGGAGGGATAGAGAGAGAGAGAGAGAGAGAGAGAGAGAGAGAGTGAATCCAAGGATATTTTAAGCTCTTTCTCTCATTACATGTGTGTGTTGTGTTTGGGTGTCTCTGCAAAAGTTACCTTTTCTCCCTCTCTCTCTCTCAGCTATCATTATTCTTTTATTCGCTCCATTTTCCACCACCCTTCCCCACTCAGAATTGAACTTCAAAGCCCTTTTTCAAGCCTTCAACTCACTGTACGTTCACAAGCAATGCACACCATTTGATCCTTCTGAATCTCTCTCTCTTCTCTCTCTCTCTCTCTCTCCATGGGTGCTCGTTGCTCCAAATTCTCCATCTGCTGGTGGCATTCCCATCTCAAACCGTCCGTTCTCCAGTCCTCTGATCTCGGTGAGTCTCATGTGAATCTATGCCGAGTAATATGGAGTTTTGAGTATCTTTGTGGTTTTTTGAGGAATATAATGGTGCTTTGTTGCAGAGGATGGGGGCAAAAATGACAAAAATGCTCTGCCGAGCTTCAATGAGTTTAGCTTACAGGAACTAAAAGCTGCTACAAATGGCTTTTCTCCGGATAACATTGTGTCAGAGCACGGAGAGAAAGCTCCGAACGTTGTTTACAAAGGAAGACTCCAGAATGATCGTTGGATCGCCGTTAAACGGTTCAACAAGTCCGCTTGGCCTGATCATCGCCAATTCACTGTTAGTTGCTCTTTCTTTTTCTTTTTCTTTTTAAATGAGATTTGTTGATCTCATTAATTGTTGTGGTTTAGGAGGAGGCAAGGTCTGTGGGGAATTTGAGGAGTGAGCGATTGGCTAATCTGATCGGATGTTGCTATGAAGGTGATGAGAGATTGCTCGTGGCAGAGTTTATGCCGAATGAGACTCTCGCCAAGCATCTCTTTCATTGTGAGTTTTTTTTGGATTTTGTTGAGATTTTTATGCATAAAGCTTTTGTAGGATGAGAATGTAGATTCAACGCACGTCATATAAGAAAATTTTTATAGCAAATGTGTGTCACGTCAATGGAGCTTTCTAATCTGCCATTTATTAGATCATTTGAGCTGGTTATTTATTAACAATGAAGTGGAAATTTGCTGTGAATTGCAGACTCATTGGATGGAAATAACTAATGCAAATGTGATGTATTATGCATACTTTACAAAGCAGTTTCATGTTTGTACTGTATCCAGTCACAATTTTGGATTGAATGTGTTCCAACCAATGTTTTGGATTGTTGTACTGATGTTTATGGTTGAATGGGGTTAGGGGAGGCCCAGCCAATGAAATGGGCTATGAGATTGAGGGTGGCTTTGTATTTAGCACAAGCTTTGGAGTATTGCAGTAGTAAGGGACGGGCCCTATATCACGATCTCAATGCTTACAGAGTCTTGTTTGATCAGGTGAAGTTGTTTTTGCTCGTATTTCACTTGTAATTTTGTTGTTGTTGTGGTCTTAGTGTTATTTTGCTTTGCTGTCCACAGGATGGCAATCCTAGGCTCTCGTGCTTTGGCCTCATGAAGAATAGCAGAGATGGCAAGAGCTACAGTACAAATTTGGCATTCACACCTCCCGAGTACTTGAGAACAGGTAAACTGCAGAATGCTGGATTGGATCTTGATATTGTATACCATTAAAAATATTCCTCACAAGTTAACACTCCAGTTTGATCTCAACCCTTTGACTGTGGGTTTCTGTGGGTCTGTAAAATGCTAGAATATTGTGTCATGTTGGCCAGGTGAAAACATCACCTCTTTAGTTGATTTTTTATTTGTTATTGCGTGTTGAATTTTTCTTGGCTCCATCTTCCTCTCTGGGTTACTATACTAATGAATTAAGTTCCTGTCACAATTAGTATTGCTTGGCTACTGTTCTATGCATATACAGTCATGTATCAAATAATGTTAAAGTTGACATAACTGCATCTCTCTGTTTTGCAGGAAGAGTGACGCAAGAGAGTGTAGTTTACAGCTTTGGGACCATGTTGCTTGATCTCCTGAGCGGCAAGCATATTCCTCCAAGCCATGTAAAATTTAATCTATAGAAATATTAATTGTTGGATATGGATTTGAATGCTGTCCTTCCTCATACTTTGACTATTTCAGCCTTCCCAAGATATAGTTTGTGCCACATGGTCCTGTTATATACTGCTCTATATTGGCATCTATCCTTTTTGTTTGGAACATCGTCAAATGTTTGGACTTGACATGGTTTAACATAGTGTGATCTTTCTAGAATGTTCAATTGAGGCTATATTGGATATTTGTTAGATTGTGATGGCATATTGTCTTTCAACTGGGTGCTAGATGCCACTACAGATTTAGCTCATGTGGCTTTGGGTGTTCTTTTATAAATCTTTTGGACAGTTTTCGCATTTTTTTTTGTGTCTGGAAATGCCTTAGTTGTTGCCCCTAATTCTGGTGTGATAATGAATTTTACCTGTAAGTTCTATTATTTTTGACTGCGTAAATTTTGAGATAGCACTATCCATATGCTTTCTTGTAGGCACTTGACCTAATTCGTGGCAAGAATTTCCTGATGCTCATGGATTCTTGTTTAGAGGGTCACTTCTCAAATGATGATGGGACGGAGTTGGTACGATTAGCTTCCCGTTGTTTGCAATATGAAGCTCGCGAGAGGCCAAATGCGAAGTCCCTTGTTGCTGCTCTTATGTCTCTTCAGAAAGAAACAGAGGTATAAACAAAAAATAGAAAGTATTCCTCTTGGCGCTATTTTACTTGCAAATGTTTGGAATATTGTTGTAGTTGATGAATTCCTTTATACATTCATTTTTATGCCATCAAAGTGTTGTGAAGTTGTGGGTCCATTGTGACCTAAGCGATAAAAATTCGAGTCGCAAAAACAGTCTCTACGTATGCAGGATAAGGTTACGTACATTTAATCCTCCCCACATCTCGCAGTGACAGAAGGGCCGCCTTTTTGAAGTGTTGTGAAGTGTCTTTGTTGATATTATATTTCACCTTTGGGTTGGGTAATGCTAAATTTGTATCTTCATCAAGGGTTTTTTCCCCTGATGGTCAACATGATTTACTTTGCCTGTATTACTTTTTGTTTCCCATAACGAATGTGTTTTTAAGTTTGCAAAGTGGAAGGGTAGGATTTTTTGGTGGTCTTACTCTCTTGTTTTACACTATGCATACTTTTTCTGGGACCTTTTGAGAGGGACTTTGAATGGTAATGGGGAAGTACTTTCTGTGTCACTTTATTTTGTGAAATGCAAGCTCTGGACACTTATCCCCATCGAGATGGGTGATGACTGCCCATTTTATCCCCGATTAAGGTAAACAAGCAGTACTTTTTTCTGAACCTTTAGTGCAGAGGTAGTTGTAGTTGGTCATGCCGAGGAACTGTTATTCTTCCATGTCAGAAAGAAACTATGTTGATTCTAAAAGCTGGGGTGGATATTTTTTGACAATATATATCGATCAGGTTCCATCATACGTCTTGTTGGGTATTCCACACGGAACTGCTAACCCGACTCAGCCATTGTCGCTTACACCTATGGGTGAAGCTTGCTTGCGTATGGATCTCACTGCCATACATGAAAATTTGGAGAAGATTGGATACAAGGATGATGAGGGAATTGCCAATGAGGTTTGTTGCTCAAAGCCCTAGATTTAATGGTTTTTTCCCTTTCAATTCTTATTTTAGAAATATGAAAAAAAAAATAAAAAATCTTATGGTTAAAAATTTCTTGCTGTGCATTAATTCCACACTTCCAGTATTCTCTAGGTCTCTGCTTCTTGACTATCTTCGATGTGTGCTATCTGATCTCTTTTGTAAATCATGTTTCACAAATGCCATTAAAACAAGAAACTCTGCTTTTGGTCTACATATTACTCTGTTCAGTTACCTATTTTATGTTCCCTTTGCCTTCATGTTAGGGAGCATGCCTTTTCTTTTCTATGTCATTATGCACTTATCAGTTTTACTGCTAGTCATACCTTGTCGTTGCAGCTTTCTTTCCAGATGTGGACGAAACAAATGCAGGAGTCCCTGACTTCTAAGAGGCAAGGTGATGCTGCTTTTCGAGCCAAGGATTTCACAACGGCCATTGATTGCTACACGCAGGTGACTCTTTTATCTAAGGCCTTAACTATTATTATAGCATTTTATAGATTTTTATCGAAAATGACACAATTTGTTAGTCTCGGCGACATTCATGTTGTGATATTTTGTTAGTGTTATATTCAACGTTCAAAGTTTGGCCAATACTAAAACGAGTTGGCTGAGTCATATTTGACTTGGCATCTTCTGAAACAATACCGCTTCACATTACATAAGAATTCCGAGTCTCACACAACTCAATCAAGTCGTCCGAGATGTCTCCGAGTTAAATTTGAGTCGTCGAGTTATTGTCCCCGAATTGGTCAATACCGTTCTGCGACGCCACGTTAAAGGCCTAAATTTCTTACCATGTCCAATTTATTTTGCTAGGTCGTATCGTTCAATACCCCGTTCTGCGACACCACGGCCTATGTGTTTCCGAGTCCTCCTAGTTGATATTGTGACCTTGACAAAACGTTTTGCACGTAGAGTCCAAAGGGATTGGAACACATTAAATAATATTGGTGATGCGCTAGGTTGCTTTTAATAGAAATGAAGAAATAGTGCGCGTGGGTGTATATAGAGAATGTATTTCACACGTAAAAATTCTGGCACCAGTAGTTTGACCACAGGTATTTTGAAGGATTCGTTTATGCCGATTTGTAATTATTGTGAATTGTCATTTGGTTTGGGCAAAGGCATAATTTGTTTGCTGTGTCTCTCTAGTTTATTGATGGTGGGACTATGGTATCTCCGACCGTGTTCGTCAGACGCTGCTTGTCTTACCTGATGAGTGACATGCCACAAGAAGCTCTTGGGGATGCTATACAAGCCCATGTGGTGTCTACTGAGTGGCCCACTGCATTTTACCTTCAGGCAGCCGCCCTCTTCAGCCTTGGGATGGAGTCTGATGCCCAAGAGTCACTAAAAGATGGAACAAACTTGGAAGCCAAAAGGAACAAAAATTGAAAGTGTATAGGTTTTACATCTCTCCTTTATTTGTATTTAATCCTTTTGCCTAATCTCATGTATTTATCCCATAGTCGTTCTCATTTGCCATTTTGATCTTTTGCAACATCGGTGGATCATTTGAAACTTTATTAATGTTGGTTATGATTTAAAGGTTACATCTCTCTTGATCTCAAGGTCTGCTTCGGCGATTCTGGGACTGCAAGAGGATTACATATTTCATCTGTCTCTTTACATAGTGTGCTCCGATTACTATTCTTTGGTACTTTTTTCTCTTGGCCACTAGATAGGTCAGTGAATTAAACATTTGTGGTTTTGGAATGTTCAGGTTATGGAGTCTTCTCTTTACCCTGATTGACTTCATGTGTTGCATGATGTGTGCCATTCAAACGTTGTTTATCAGACTAGCCTTTAGATAAGAAAAATAGGTCTCGCTGAGCTTCTATCTATGAAGTACGGATATTTCGTTAAAGTTGACGTATTCGTATTGGATATGATATTTTTCGGATACTTGATGATACGTATTGGATACGTAGTATCCGTATCTGATAATTAATAAAATATGTGAATACTTTGTATATACTTCTAAACATTGGGCAAGATGTACATTTTTCAATTTTGAGTTATATCCCTTCTTTGGAGTTCAATTACAATATAAAATATCAACAAAATTTCATCTAATTTTGAAGACACGAGTGTTTTTTAAGTATTATTTATTATTATATGTTAAGAGAGTATAAAAAAAATAAGTTACTTACACTAGAATTTTAAAAACAAATACTTGTAAAAACATTAACTAATTAAATGTTGTTATGATTCTTTCAATTGATCATACTCATTTTATGAACATATCATAACGAGAGTTCAAGGTAAAAATTCTTAATTTTGTTTACTAATGTTAAAGAATTATTGAAAATTATAATTTCTAAATCGTTAAATAATAGTAAAATATAAAATATATAATATATTTTATTATAGACGTATCCTGGCTATATTTGTATCATATTTTGCTAAATTTTGTCTTATCGTCGTATTTATATAATATTATACCTGTGTCAGGTATCCGTATCTGTGCTTCTTAAATTCTCTCGCTGCATAATTACATTGAATCTTAGTCAGAACTTGGGAAAAGATTTTCACCTGCAATGACAATCCCGAAATGACCGAATCTGGGCTTTTGTACTGATACTTCGAGATGGCAATTTGTTGGCCAGCAAAAGTCCATCTTTCAGAGCCAATGAAAACTGGGACCTAAGCCAACAACAATTAGGAACCCTAAATTTTGGTACCTGTAAACTGTTTGATGTACAAAATTTACTGCCCATCTCCTCTTTCTGCCTGCATTTACAGCCCATGAAATTAAGGGGTAGAAGTTTCATGTCAAAAAATTTGAGTAAACTACACTATAGCCTTTAAACTAAAACCTCTTGTGTCAATTAAGTTCCTAAACTATTTTTTTTGGTCAATTAAATTTCTAAACTCTTTTTTTTGTCAATTAAGTATATAAACTCTCTAATTGTGTCGATTAAACTTGTGAGTTTTCTAATTGTGTCAATTTAACCATTCTGTCTATTTCATTAAATTTTTGGGTTAATTACACTAGAGGTCCCCAAAATATGGAGTTTGTTTCATTTTGGTCCCCAATATTTCAATTGTATCATTTTAATCCTTAAAATATTGAATATGTTTCTATATGGCTCCTCAAACAAATAGGGTTTAGATTGCTAACGATTTTTTTATCATAAACTTATCACATAATACCTAAATATAGACCAAAAAAATAATTTTAATAGCTTTTAAACAAATTTTGAGTAACTCTTGACCAAAAAATGTGTAATATGAGTAGTTTTGACCAAAATTTGGATAATTCATGATCAAAACTGTGTAATTTAGATAGCTATTTAACAAAATTTGATCAAGAGTTATCCAAATTATTTTTTTGTCCATATTTGAGTATTACGTGACAAATTTATGATAAAAAATTGTTAGCAATATAAACGTTGTCTGCTTAAGGGACCATATAGAAACATATTTAATACTTCAAGGACCAAAATGATGCAATTAAAGCATTAGAAACTAAAATGAGACAAACTCCATACTTTGGGGATCTCCAATGTAATTAATTCTAAATTTTTTAACAAAAAATGACAGTGTGTTCCTCATGTAACACAAATGAGTACACATATGATCCTCAAATTATAATCTGTGTTAATTAAACTTCTGATTTTTTTTTTTTATGTCAATTGAACTCGTGAACTCTCTAATTATGTCCATTGAGCCATTTTATCTTTTTGTCATATAATCACATGAGTGACACTCTATCAGAGTCAAACAAAAGAGCTCAATTGACACAAAACCAACATCCTTATGAAAAAAGAAGTTGTATAATGTTTCCTCTTGGTGCAAACATGCTAAACAGCGTCCCACTATGAATCAAAATGTCATGTATATTATAAGTAGTTCTTTCATATTTCATGGGCAACCAATTTGGTCATTAACCATGCCTCAGCAAACAAATCAAACAGCTTCCCTCCAATAAATAAAGTCACAGGCTTCATGTCCTCAACCATCAAATTTTGTTATAAGCATATGCAGATGTTTCTCAATCCTTGCTTCAACCAAGATGGCAACATACCAAAAAAAACCAGAAAAAACGGATGTCAATGAACAAAGCCATTGCAATGTTGATTGGAAATGAGAATGCTTCATAAACATGGCAGAGAATTTCAGGGTGAATTTCATCTTACACCATAATCATAACAAATCAATATGGTAGGAACCAGTAAAGGGTATTATCACGAGTTTCTTATTGTTTTTCTTCCACCACCAATCATTTGAGCACGAAATGTGGGGGCAGGTTATTTGCTCATTGTATCGAAACCAAGTGACATTCATATCCACTATAACAACGATGCAAGCAAGGAATTCCTTCACATTGGAGGTTGACTGGTTCCAAGCATCTGCCCAACTAGATTAGTCACCTGCTAAGACATTAAAAATGATAAGTATTAAGATGACACTTCTTTGATCAATAATCACGGCAGAATCCTGGTATCATCACATTAGCCTTATTTAAGGACTACTAAGTAGGGATGACAGTGGACTGAAAAAAAAAGGGTATCCGTCCAAAACCGCCCTATTGGATTGGGGATGAACAATATGTATTGAACAATGAACGTATACGGGAGTATTCGTATAAACCCGTGCGGAGACAGAGACAAAGATAGACCCACCCTTCCACCCACTTATTAATACACATATATATAATATCACAAACCCTGCTCACTTTCTCAGCCCACCATTGCGACACACACACACACTCAACCAGCAACACTGCCACATCCATGCGCCGCCTCTCTCTTTCTCAACTCACCATCTAAGAAGGACGGATACGGACACGGGAATACGACAAAATCCCAAAACATAAGACACGAGTACGGCGAGAATACGACTAATTAAAATAATTATATATATTGTTACATATATAACAACATTAATAATAACAATCCAAAAAAAAAGCAACAAACACGGTAGGAAAAGTGGAAGACAGAATCATAGAATCCAAATTTGAAAACCAGCAACACCAGACCCAAAAAACAACAACACATCAACAACAAAAAAACCCCTAAAATTTGAAAACCCTAAATCCGTAATCTAATCAAATTTTTTGAAAGCCCCCCACATATTAGAAGTAAGAAAAAAAATCTTAGATAACAAAAAAGAAGAGGAAGAAGAGGAACCTGGTAAGTGGCAACAACAGTCGCAAGCAAGCAGTCGTAGGCAGCAGTAACAGGTTGGTTTTCCTCTTCCCTCTCCTCCTCTCCTTGTTGAAGGCCCGAAGTAGATCGTTTAGTTGTTATCCTCTTCTCTCTCTCTCTCATAGTGGAAAGTGGGAGACTGGGAGTCGAAGCAGATTGTTGATCGTTCAGCCTTTGCCTTTTGTTTTTTCTTTTTTCAAGCCCAAAAACGACGTCGTCTATCTCCTTTTTTTTTTTTTAACCTCCTAAGTTTTTAAAATAACAAAAACAGCCCCGCCGTATTCCCCTAAGTATCCTCGTATTTCCCATGTATCCGGTTGAAAAAAATTAAATTTACTATGCAGAACACTTCTAGAGGTATCGGGCACGTGTTCGGCCATATCCCACGCGTGTCCGACACTGCCACGACGACCCTCCACCGAGTATCCGTGCTTCTTAGCTCACCATCAACTCAGAACTGAGGTATTTCTCTCACGCACTCATCTGCAACTCACACACCGACACACAACACACGCATAACAAGTATTTGTTATACGTATTATTTTCGAGAGTTTTTATGTTTGATCTATTTGTTATATAATGAGTTTTCATCCTTCTTACAAATCTATTTTAGGTTTTATGAATTTTTTTCAATATATTTTTTTTAAAATTATAGAAATTAATAATTGTTATGGGCGGAGTAGGGGATCAAATTTATCTGTGGGGTGAGGAAGTGAATTAAAATTTTCCACGTTAACGGGAGTGGATTGGGGGTTGACGAATATTTTTAAAGCAGGTATTGAGGTGGAGACTACTCCACCCGCCCCCGCCCCCGCCCCCGCCCCGGGTACACTGCTATCTCTACTACCAAGAACTCAAGAAATTATAAGTTTAAGGACGATGAAACAACGCCTTGCAGCTAAGTATTTCAAATGTGTCTCTAATCTCCAAAAGCATGTAAAAATGTGGTAAAATGTTCTGTTTTGGAGCAAGGACAAGGATTGAGGTCCAAGGTTAGCGGTTGATGAGAAGATATTTCAATTTACAAAATTTTGCTTTTGACCTGCTATGACAATAGATTTGTTATTCCCTCATAACGTAAAAGTGATTCTTCAGGGGGAGAATAAGGCAGCACAAGAAAAATTCCGGAGCAATGCTATAACCTAAGATAAAAGAGATCCAAATTAAGAAAACAAATGCAAACTGAAGACTCCTTGGTGTTGTCAAGCATGAGGGTATTGGCCATTACAGAAAAGAGTCTGCCTCAAAGTACCAGTCAAGGTTCAGAAATTTTCCACTATTTTACTAATTATTTTACTCCGCAGGTAATGATCATGGATATTACAGATATTTAAATATTATCTGCACCACAACAGGACAATTGAAAAATCCCAATTGTGATTCCAGTATATAATATATGCACTCCATAAAGCACAAAGGACACAAAATTTGATACAGGTACCAAGCCCTCAACTGACTCGAAAAAAATTCAATTATCAATCACAACTGGAATCTCACGAATAATTATCCCCTCTGTGCCAAACTTGAAGTCCATCATTCCTTTCTTGGATGTCCCAAAAAAATAGTCGATTTTAATAAGTCAACCTAAATATGTTCTTATAAATCCTTTTTCTTAAAAATAGATATGTTCCAAAGTACTTAAACTATCACTTGTGAAATTATTTTGACAAAGTTTATTTCACAACATATGTGATTTGTTTAACTTTTGAAGAATTTTATGGAATTTCTCAACTGAAATTCATTAATAAGTTGTCCCCTTAAAATGTTGGATTCCCACAAAGGGATTCTATAGGTCAGAGGGAGAATAATTGTGCATGTTCATAAATTGAGCTTCTACAAAGAGTTAACACACACGGCTCCTCAAAAGGCAAAAAAAAAAAACCAAACGGAGTGATAATATTGAGACCAATTTGAAAGCAAAAAAATAAAGCAGCCAGTGAAATTTTATACTGACCTGCCAATATTTTGAAACACAGCGGTCAATGCAACTGTTTTCACCCATATTTAACTCAGATTCCTTGTGCCTGTAAGCAGGAAAAGTACATTCCATGAGACACTGCTCTTAAACAATATACCACAATATTGGCGTAAAAGAAGTCATGTTCCAAACAGATGGGAACATAAAATGTTGAAACTCCAGAGGTATAAGTTCAAGTTCAAGTTCAACTTTGAAAAGATACCTGTTCTCGATGCATTTTGTAAAACATGTCTGTGTAAGCCTGAATAAAAAAGATTAAAAGATAGTTAAATGTCAGAATGAGCAAGAGCAATATATTTTAAATATATGCAATACAAAAATCAGAAGCACAATTTCAAATCTACTATTCTTTCTTATTTATATTGTGTGTGTGTGAGCCAGCCATGTTTGGCAAGCGAAGCTCACAAGTTTGAAGCCAAAATGATAACGAAGAAACACCATAAAACTGTAAAAGTAACAGAACGTGACAAAGCACCTAACCAATGTACAAAATACCACCTCCATCAGATATGATATCACAAGCAATGGTTTGGAAGGATTGAAATAGTGATGATACTGGCCTGGGTCACAAAGCAGGGGCATTAACTTACCATCCTGTGTCCTGCCCAAGTATACATGTGTATCCCAATTCCATTATGATGACCTATTTCTAATCAACGCAAATCATATAATATGATGAGTGGTATGTTCTTCTAATTGGTAGTAATAATCAACACGTAAGATACTACACAACCCTAAGCTAAACATAACCCATCAACATGAAAGCCAAGATATCAATGGGCATGAAGAGAAATTGCCCTGTAAATTTTAATATGTGAGTTCTAAATATTTCACTGGTTTGAATTATGTTGATTCAACCTTTGCATTGAATCCATCAGGGAACCAATCATCTACGAAAGAAATAATCACCCTATGCATACCAATAGTAGAATAGCAAGCACGAGGGATTTCTTCAAAACACATAGCAAGAGTTAAATACACCTACTTGTTAAACAATTCCACCCTATACTCCATCTCTTTCTCTGCCATTCCTATTATCTGCTCAAAAGATACAATACAAAATAAGCCCCTATCTCAATGTATGTATACCCCCAAGGAGATTGACGCCAACCCAGTACCCATTACCCATTACCGTAAATTATCAGCAAACATATAAGATTAGAAATACCTGTTCTTTTTGTATGGCAGATTGCTTGTTATTAGCGGCCATTAGATCTGAAAGGAATATATAAAGCTCAGAGACTATTGATTGGGTTGCAATTTCAAGATTAAGTAACATAATTTGCGGTGAAAATGGGAATCTAAAGAGCATAAATCTTACACAGAGAAGAGATTGCAACGGCAAGCAAAACCCTAAAAGTTTGAATCTGGGTGAGAGAGTGGGTGTATTGGAAATAGACCAAACAGAACCTAAAGAAAGAGAGGGTTTTAGGCCAGGTCTGGTGTACTGGGACGGAAGACCGTAAGACGGTGTTAATAGAATCTCCTGTATTGGTAAACTAGCGATAACCTGTGAACCTGTATACCGGTGATTGGGTGAACCTGAAAGTCTAAATTGTATTTTTAATGTCATGGCTTTGTTCGAAAAAATGGGTGTATACATTAAAAAATTAAAAAATTAATATTTATAATTGGACTCAAATCAATGAGATAAATGAAATAGGGTTGGATCTAAATTTTATAAGCCCAAATGTTATAAGTTTAAATTTAAGGATTTTTTTGTAGGACGATACTCTATATAGTACTTGTTTGTGATGATGCACAAATTAGTTTGTACACCACTAGTCAAGTTATAGTATAAAATGCAGTAAAGTAGAAGGGGAGAGTAGACAAGATTTATAGTGGTTTGGTCAATACGACCTACGTCCACTTTGAATGGCTAGATTCGCCGGAATTTTATTATCTCCGGTGTGGAGGGAGAGCACATGATTACAAGCTTTGAGAGGAAAAGGAGAGAATTATGCTCAAATGAGTCTGATGTCCCCAAGTGTTGGGGGAGCTTACAATTTATAGTGGCTTGACATAGTAATTGTATGACTAGTCTGACGGTCATAATGGCTTAGGACCGTTTGATAGTAATTATGTAGCTGATTTGGCGGAGGCGACCTATCATCTTCTCATTGGGCGAGGTGTGACGGTTGATGTGCTCTCCAAAGGACTTGTTCAAGGATGGGGGAGGTTGACTCTCTCCAGGCTGCGAGGGTGAGACTCCTAGATGCTCCATTGGTGGTGAGAGTGAGGTTCCTGGATGCTCCCTTGGTGGTGTAGAGGAGGCTCTTGGATGACCCTTACTCCAAGGTGGTAGAGGAGGCTCTTGGATGACCCTTACTCCAAGGTGGTAGAGGAGACTCTTGGATGACCCTTACTCCAAGGTGGTAGAGGAGACTCTTGGATGACCCTTACTCCAAGGTGGTAGAGGAGACTCTTGGATGACCCTTACTCCAAGGTGGTAGAGGAGACTCTTGGATGACCCTTACTCCAAGGTGGTAGAGGAGACTCTTGGATGACCCTTACTCCAAGGTGGTAGAGGAGACTCTTGGATGACCCTTACTCCAAGGTGGTAGAGGAGACTCTTGGATGACCCTTACTCCAAGGTGGTAGAGGAGACTCTTGGATGACCCTTACTCCAAGGTGGTAGAGGAGGCTCTTGGATGACCCTTACTCCAAGGTGGTAGAGGAGACTCTTGGATGACCCTTACTCCAAGGTGGTAGAGGAGGCTCTTGGATGACCCTTACTCCAAGGTGGTAGAGGAGGCTCTTGGATGACCCTTACTCCAAGGTGGTAGAGGAGACTCTTGGATGACCCTTACTCCAAGGTGGTAGAGGAGACTCTTGGATGACCCTTACTCCAAGGTGGTAGAGGAGACTCTTGGATGACCCTTACTCCAAGGTAGTAGAGGAGACTCTTGGATGACCCTTACTCCAAGGTGGTAGAGGAGACTCTTGGATGACCCTTACTCCAAGGTGGTAGAAGACGAGACTCTTGGATGACCTTCTTGGATGACCCTTACTCCAAGGTGGTAGAGGAGACTCTTGAATGACCATGCATGTTCCCCCTGTAGCTTCTTGATCTTGATAAGGTTATTCGGGTGTAGACTCTTTTGGGTTTGACTAGTTGGATCTCTTGACATTGGACCTTTAGGTCGAACCAAACTTATAACATGGGTTGGGTCTTTGGGCTTGGCCCATCATTTACCTCTCAATGCTCTGCGTCCAACAGAACTTGGAAAGGAGGGCATTTAAGTTGAATTTAAATTTTTGGCTGACCAACATAACTGGAAAAACTTCAAGAGGCCAAAACATCTGTTTATAGGCCTTTTTTGGACTTTCAATAGCACCAATCATAACCAAGGGTTGTGAATCTTGTAGGGCTCGGCGAGAGCTTCGATTTGATATATTATAAGCCTTATTTCAAGCAACGGAGCAAAAGTTACAGTCAAAACTTCGAGTCGGAGCTGGGTGCATGTTTTAGGCGAGCAAGCCACTTTTGGGCGGGCACATATTGTGCTGGGTGAGCAGAAAACCTTTTGGGTGAGCTGATTTTTTTTTTTTTTTAAAAAAAAAAATTCGAGAGGCCAAAACACCTCTTTCTGGGCATTTTTTGGACTTTTTTTGAAAAACTCATTACCAAAGGTAATGAGTTTTTCTCAGCTCGTCAAGAGCTTCGATTTGATATATAATATGTCATATTTTGAGTTTACAAAAAAAAATTTACAGTCAAAATAACAAATTGTGCGTGCTTTTTTGGGCGAGCAGAGAGCTCCTGGGCGAGCAGGCAGGGCGTGCTAGTAGTGTCTTGGGCGAGCAGCAAATTTTTTTATTTTTTTTAAAACTTCGGGAGGTTAAAACACCTCTTTTTGGGCGTTTTTCAAACTTTTTTTGAAAATCTCATTACCAAAGGTAATGAGTTTTGCTTAACTCATCGAGAGCTTCGATTTGGTATATAATAAGTCATATTTTCAGCTTCTGATCAAAAATTTCGGTCAAAATAGCGTGCAGTGGTGTGGTGCAAGGCTTTGGGCGAGCAGACACCCTCCTAGGCGAGCACAAACTGTGCTGGGCGAGCAGACATCCTCCTGGGCGAGCAAAAATATATATATATTTTTTTAAAACTTCGGAAGGCCAAAACACCTTTTTTTGAATATTTTTTGGACTTTTTTTGAAAAGCTCATTACCAAAGGTAATGAGTTTTGCTCAGCTCTCGAGAGCTTCGATATAGTATATAATAAATCCTATTTTGAGTTACGGACCAAAAATTACGGTCAAAATAGCGAGCAGGGAGCCAGGGGCGCGATTTTGGGCGAACAACCAGCTTTTGGGGGAGCAGGTCACCTCCTAAGTGAGCATACAACCTCCTGGGCAAAATTTTTTTTTTTTCTTTTTTTTTCGAACAATGTCGAATGGTGGAGATCATGTACTTAGGCCTCCAAATCTTGGTGTGCAACTTGAAAATGTTGGTGTTGTCCCCTGGAGAAGAGATGAAGGTGCATAGCCCGTAGGACTGGCTACTGGGCGAGGGCTAGGCACCCATGTTAGCGAGGCAACAGAGGCCTTGGGTGAACGGGTTGCTTGTGAGGCTAGCAGTCTAGGCAGCCTTGGTGATCTCGGCGAGCAAACCAGGGAGGCTACTGCTGTGTTGGGCAGTCCTTTAGGCGAGCAGAACTTAGGCGATCATGCCTTGGGCGAGTTGGACTTGGGTGCAGGCTGTAAGGAGAGGTGTTGAGCAAACACTTCTGTTGGTCAGGGATTAGGCGTCGAGGCCCAGGTGCAAGGCACCTAGGCGAGCACGGAGCCCTCGAGCGAGTGGAGCAGCTCTGGGGAGTCCACCGATGGGTGCCTTGGTGCTGTTGTATGCGCGAACCAGCTAGGCGAGCATCCTGCTGTGCAGGGCCGCTTGGGTGAGCAACCTACTGTGCTTGGCATCTTGGGCGAGCATGGGTATGCCTTAGTCGCTAATCCAGGCGAGCAAGGAGGAGGAAAGAGGGTTGGTCTTGGTGTGCAGGCGCCATAGAACACCATTTTGGGTGAGCACAAAGGGTTAGGCGCCCTTCCAGGCGCTAACAGAGGGGGTCAGACACTTCTTGGCGCCGCTGGCCAGGCATCTCAGGTTTTGAGTGCTAGATGGATGAGGCCCCGATTGTTGACATTCAATCGAAGGTAATCCCTCGGGTTGCAGACGACCTGAGTTTCAAGATCTTGAGAGTAGAACAGATGCCAAGCTTTTTTGGCGACTCGTGAGAGAGCCAGGAGATAGACTGCTTGTTTGAGAACAGTGTAGATGTCAAGCTTTTTTGGCGACCCGTGAGAGAGCCGCTAAGCTGGAGATAGGCTGCCTATTTGAGAACAGTGCAGAGGTAGGCAAACTTTTTGGCGACCCTGGAGAGAGTCGTTAAGCTGGAGATAGACTACCTGTTTAAGAACAGTGTAGAGGTAGGCCAAGCTTTTTGGCGACCCTAGAGAGAGCCGGTAAGCTGGAGATAGACTACCTTGTTTAAGAACAGTGTAGCGGTAGGCTAAACTTTTTGGTGACCCTCGAGAGAGTCGCTAAGCTGGAGATAGACTATNACCTTGTTTAAGAACAGTGTAGCGGTAGGCTAAACTTTTTGGTGACCCTCGAGAGAGTCGCTAAGCTGGAGATAGACTATCTGTTTAAGAATAGTGTAGAGGTAGGCCAAACTTTTTGGTGACCCTCGAGAGAGCCGTTAAGCTGGAGATAGACTACCTTGTTTAAGAACAGTGTAGAGATAGGCTAAACTTTTTGGTGACCCTCGAGAGAGCCACTAAGCTGGAGATAGACTATCTGTTTAAGAACAGTGTAGAGGTAGGCCAAAATTTTTGGTGACCCTCAAGAGAGCCGTTAAGCTGGAGATAGACTACCTGTTTAAGAATAGTGTAGAGGTAGGCCAAGCTTTTTGGCGACCCTCGAGAGAGCCGCTAAGCTGGAGATAAACTACCTGTTTAAGAATAGTGTAGAGGTAGGCCAACCTTTTTGGTGACCCTCGAGAGAGCCGTTAAGCTGGAGATAGACTACCTGTTTAAGAACAGTGTAGAGGCAGGTCAAGCTTTTGGCGATCCGTGAGATGATTCACCTTGCCTGGACCTGTTGATTTCCTCAACATTCATAATTTTTTGAACTTTTGCTAATAGTTCTAGCATGCTCTTTGGTGGGCGTTTCGTCACGGAGAAAAGGAAACTCGATGACCGAAGGCCTCCCAAGAAGGCGGTCATGCTGACTTTTTCATCGGGCTCTTCGACTTGAAGGACCTCCTCATTAAAACAAGTGAGGTAGCTTCGCAGGCTCTCATCTCAGTTCTGCTTTATGCTGAGTAGGTGGGTGGCAGGCTTTTGGTAACGGCGTCCTCCAATAAAGTGCAACACGAAGGACCTGCTCAGCTCAGCAAATGAGCCGATGGAAGCGGGGGTGATATTGGCGAACCACTGTCGAGCAGATCTCTTCAAGGTGGTTGGGAACGCTCTGCACATGATTTCGTCAGGGACGTTGTGCAGTTGCAT